TGTTGTTGCAAGGTTAGCTGAAAATTAAAATTATTGAAAATTATTCGAGATTGAGAGGAATTGTGGGTGAAGAATTCATCCAAATTAGTGTCCCCAAAACGCCCAATTTACTCAGCCCCTCCGCCGCCCTGCTCAGCCCTCGGTCTCCGCCTTCCCTTGGCACTCAAGTCATTCGATTTTGGTGAGGTACTGGGCTTCGAAATTGTGCGATGCACTTGAATTTTTTGCGCGTAGCAAACTTGTTGTTGCAATAATGACTGTTTCATCTATTTCAATTTATTCATGGTAAGCAGGTCTCCGGAAAGTGGGGCAGTATCCAGTGGCTAGTTCCATTGTGCAGAGTTGTACACATGACGTATTAATTAAAGTGTATAATTATTTTTCTTGACACTCTGTTTCGCACTCAGACAGTATCTTTGGAATGGATTCAATAAACAGTAGAAACTAAAGATCAAATAACTTTTTGAATGAATGCTAAATTTAACTATTACTGCCAGCTGGGATTGTAGGTAAAATGTCAATTTCGAGATTTATCTAGGCTTTTTGAAGTTACCGACTATGTTGCTGGGACATATCCAACTTTTTTTTTATGATTTTCACACCTGTTTGATTTTTTTCGAGTTCGACTTTCTCTTAAAAAAAAATTTGAGATGAGTTTAGGTGTTCGATATGTTGCCTGTTGCTGCGTTAATTGATGACCATATTCTCTGTGTGCATGGTGGTCTCTCACCCGATTTGAAAACAATTGAAAAAATGCTCACGCTGGACAGGTAATTGTTCATTTGCCAGCTGTATTCGTCGTCGAAAACAAATGACTGCGTTTTCGCCAGGGACGCCTAAAATGACGTTGTGAAGTTGTCGATGTTATTGTGACTCCGACTACTGAAACACCAGATTTTCTTTTCATGTGCTGCATTACCCTTGCTCATAGCATTGTCTTACCGCTGAAGGCCACTGCAGTGGAAAGGAAATGATTTCGATTCAGTGGTATGGAGTACTTCAAAACGAAGTCTCCGTAGATGAAGCATGACTGAGTATATGCTGGGCAAATACTATTTTATAAATTGTGTGTTATTTTTTAAGGGCAGTCGAGATTCCAAGCAAAGGGGCGTTGTGTGATCTTGTGTGGTCGGATCCGGAACCAACTGAAGAAGGATGGGAACTCAGTCCCAGAGGAGCTGGATGGGTACGTCCTTCGTAAAACATCTTTCGGGATCTAATTAATCTTCCATTTAAACAGACTCATTTTGTTCCACTGTGGCTGCTTTTTGA